ACCGGATCCCTACCATAACAGTATAGTACGATGTCATTCAGTCTATACAGAAATTACAAAACAGATGCAAAAAAAGGAAAACTAAAACACCCCCGAAACCCTAGCTTGACAGGCTCGGAACCTCGCAGTGAGGCACAGTGGTTGGCTTTGACAAAAGGGAGTCTAACCCACGCTCCTAGCTCCGGTCTGGTGCCTATACACTTACATATATCTATGAGCAGTGAGCTAAAGCCCAGTGAATAACATAATGTGTAAAGAGGTTAAGAATAAATGTCTTTTCAATATTGAAAACAGTCAATTGATTCAGTGTATCAGTCATTCAGTCATAACAGTCATATGTGGTACATCCAATAGCAAAACAGTACAGTAAACAGTAGGTCTTGAAGGACCGAACAGTCAATGATGGCCATCAGTAATGGTTCCAAACATGGGAACCGACAGAGATCTCTATAACAGTAGTAGTAACAGTTCAGTAATAATATATTGCTATGGATGCCACAATACAGTTCAGAATAGAGAACAAACATTCATTCAGTTAACAGTAAACAGTTCAGAAAACAGTTCAATCGTTCATTCAGAAAATATTCATTTTCGAACATATCTTTACAACATTGTTACTCACAGAGTTCTGGGCTACAGATAAGCTAGAGCACGTCTCTGAAAGCCAATCCTACACAGTTGCAGAATGAACGCACACTAAGCTACACAGTTGGGAAAATAATAACTTAATCCTTATCTTGACTTGGTGTGGTTCTATATCAATATCCTCATTAAGATGCCTTAAACTAGGCCTAAGAATGCCTAGAATGAAATGAGGATGTAAGGATGCACTTAGAAAACATTTTCAGAATTTTCAGAAAATAGGGGTCTCGCTCGAGCGTGGGATTCCCCGCTCGAGCGGTCATGCAAACAAAATCCTACGCTTGAGTGTAAACTTTCACGCTCGAGCGTACTGAAAAAGTACTGGATGTGTGAAAATCACGCTCGATTGGGCGCTCGACACCCGCTCGAGCGTGTGACACAAGTACTCGCTCGAGCGTCCAATACCCCACTCGAGCGGACTATAAAACAGTGCAAAGTGTTGGGAGCACGAATTTCACGCTTGAGCGCCAGTTACTCCGCTCAAGCGTGAGTCCAAAATCTGGGAATTCCAGATTCGAACCTCAAGCTCAAAACCAAGTTTTAATGTACTAAATTCGATCCTTTTGTGCTAATTTTCTAGAAAACACTTCAAAACTCATAATATAACATGTTTCAAAGGTCAATTTGAGAAATCAAAGCCCAAAGATAGTTCAATTAAATCCAATTTCAAACCAATTTTCATAAACAAAGCTCAAACATGACATGCATGAATTTAAACCAATTCAAAACTTCAAATACTTGCTCAAATGAGCCAATTCTTCTAAAACATGCTGAACTCATGGTCCCTAACATTAACATGAATATGCATGTGTAATTCCATGAACAAACACCTCAAAACTCATGAATGACAACATGCATGCAGGGAATGAGTTTCAATTCAACATTATAAGGCTCAATCTAGGCTTAGATCACTAAGGACACAAGAACCATGCATGAATCAATTCAAAAACAAGTTCAAGAAGGTGGATGTTCTACCTTAAGTCTTGTATTCAAGGTCTAGGAGCTTAATTTGCAATCTATACTTCAATCCCTTCAATTTCCAAGCAAAACAAGATGAAAACCAACTCTCTTAGTTCTCTCTCTCTCTCTATGGTCGGTTGTGCTTAGAAATGAACTGATGAAATGTGTATGAATGAGTGTAATAAGGCTCAAATATAGTCTAAGGTAGTGGCCCACTCACAATGGCATTATGGTAGATAAAACCAACTTATGTGTTTTACATTATCTAATCTAATTTAAACACATTAAATCACATTTCAGATAAATACACCATAAAATCACATCAAATTATGATTAACACATATCACTAATCAATTTCAGATTCGGCCGTCGATAAGGCCTTCAATTTGCAATTTAAAGCATAAAACATGAACAGATAGTTTAACAGTCAACAAATAGATATGCATTTAAACTAGCACATTCAATCAGTCAGTTCAGTATTTCAGTCGATTCAATTACTTATCATAATCAGTCTCAGTTTAGCAATAATCAGTGGTTAACCAGTAATCAGTGGTGAGGGTTATTACAAGACGGTTGCGGATTGATTTTTTTCAATCCGCCTAGTTTTAAATGAATGGCGGATTTGAGGTTCTTTTGGCAGCAACCGAACCGCCAAACCGTGAGCACTCCTAGTAATTTGTAAGATTTTGTGTTTTTAATTTATTTGGATATTCTGTTTGTGTTTTTAATTAAAAATGAGTTTAAATATTCTGTTGTGTTTTCAATTTGTTTTCAATTTAGAAATTCTTTTATCAAATGACAAGTGTTAATATTTGATATTTTTATGTGAAAAATATAAAGCTTAATTTTTTTATTTTTTTAAAAAATCAAATTAAATAGTTTTTGAATATAAAAAAAGTATGAAATAATTTTGATAATGCATGGTTTTCTTATATGTATTTATTATTGGTATTTGACAATTTACTTGATAATCTTTTGGTTATGTTGAGTTGGATTGTTATCCAAAAAAAAAAAAATATTGATAAATTGTTGTATTATGTTCAAAATTTGTAAAAGTTTATACTGCTAAATCGATTCGCAACCATCTGTCAATCCGCATCTGTCAATCTGGCGAACGAATTGATTTTTTTCCAATCTGCCAATTCAACAGACGAATGTCGAATTAGAATTTTTTCAACCGCAACTGAACCTCAAACACCTCTACTCTTTTTGTTTTGCTTTGTTTTGATACAATGGAAAATAAAACACAAACCAGAGGACTAGGCCCTCTCTCTACCCATCCCCAGCATGTTTGTAACTAGCAGCTCCCTTATCTCAACAGGAGAGTCATTAACAACTAAGATGTCTTCAGGTTGAGCAGCTCCCAATTTGGCTAAAACATTATTGAGCCTCCGTTTGGGAAATGGGTTGACTTTTTGGCTATTTTAGCTTGGGCTATTTTAGCTTGGTTTGGGAAGGGCTTTTTGACTTTTTGACTTTTTGGCTTTTTTGGCTTTTTTGTGAGAGAGGATTGTAATGATTATAGGTTGGATTTGATGTTTTGTTTTTTGTGGCTAAAATAGCCTATTTTGTTTTTTGTGACTATTTTAGCCAAAAAAAACCTGGCTTTTTTCTTCTCACCAGACCTTTATAAGGATGTTTCTCTCCAAGGCCTTCTACAAGTAGCTTCATAACTTCTTGGGCATCAGTTTCCACAGTCATGTTGTTGAAGCCTTTTTGGAGAATGATTGTTAGACCTTTATACACCGCCCATAATTCAGTTTCAAGACTGATACAACTTTCCATCCTTCCATAGTAGCCACAGATCCAAGCTCCCTTCTCATCCCGAATGAGACCTCCAAATCCATTTGGTCCCCTGCTCTATTTGCTTCCACCCGTGTTTAATTTCAGAGTACCTACAAGAGGGATAGACCATTTAATTAGTTTAAATGGAGGTCTAGGATTAATAATAGATAAGCTGAAAACAAGACCAATTTCAGTGGAGTAATCAAGAATAAATTTCAAACTCTCAAATTGAATGGATAATTTGTTTTCAAAGACTTTGAGGTTCTTGTTTTTCCAAATTTTCCAAAGCATGACCAAGAAAACAGTGCTCCAAGCAGACTTGGCACCAAATTTAGCCTTCGTTTTGGAATTAGAGATCATCCAATGCATCCAGTTTTCATCGATCATCTGCCAGTACTAATGCTAGTTTTGAACAACAGTCCAAACTTCCTTAGCTTTGAAACAAGCTCTAAATAGGTGGTGGAGATCCTCAGTTTCACTGCAAAATGGGCAACAAGAGTTATCTAAAATCCCTCTTTTTAATCACATGCTGTTAGTAAGGAGTTTGCCATGTAAGATACTCCACAAAAAACCTTTCAGCTTTTGTGGAATTTTCTTTTTCCACAACCACTGCCAATTCTCCTCTTTACCATCATAATCCGAAGCTAGCTCAAAAGCACTGGATGTGGAAAAAGTTACATCCGGAGCCCCTTTCCAAACTAAAAGATCCAAGTTGGAATTATATTTAAGGGGGATTCTCTTTAAAAATAGAGGCAACCACAATTAGGGAAAAGATTTGATTAATTATATTAGCTTTCCAATCACCTTCTCCATCAATGATATCCCTAACTTTAGATATAGTAAGATTGATTGGTATGGGAAAATTTGAGGTCATGACTTCCTCAACAGGTTTCTCCCCACACCACTAATCTTTTCCAGATGTCAATAGTAGTGCCATTACTAATAGACCATTTACCACCTTTTCTTAAAATGCTTCTAGCATTTAGCATTCCTCTCCACACATGAGAGGTTTTGCTAGTCCTCTGCCAGTTCAGAAAGTGGTTGCCTTTCAAGTACTTAGCTTTCAACACCTCAATCCACATACCTCCCTCACTGTTAATGAGTTTCCCATCCCAATTTAGAAAGTAAAACTAGATTATAATCTCTAGCCTTCTTGATGCCAAGGCCACCATGTTTTTTCTTTTTACAAACCTCATTCCAATTGACAAAATGAATTTTCTTTTTCTCTAAGATATCACCTCAAAGAAAATTTCTATTAATCTTATCAATATCACCCCTACTCATAATGTAAAAACATTACTATAGTATCATTTTGGATTATTTTTTTGTGTAAAACTTCTCATACAAAATAATTTTTTTGTGTAATATTTTGTAATCATTTCATTACAAACCAAACACTCATCATCGTGTTTCATAATTTAAAAAATAAAAATAAAAATACAACTAACACACCATCATATCATGGATGGATTTTTTTGTTTAAAAAATCATTTTCTAAATTTTAAAATATTTTAAATCATATCATCTCTCACATTTTTAATATATTTTTTAAAAAAACACACACACATAGACCCCAACACACACACACACACACAAAGAAAATTACATAGATATGAAAGAAAAGAATATTGTACCAATTTACCACTTCTTAAAGTTGCTCTACTCAAAAGGTCTAATTCAAATACATCTATTTAGGATGTGTTGAGATCCTGTGTCTCAAAAAAGTCTTTGTCCCGTTATTCCGTGCATCACGATATGATTTCTAATTTAAAGTAAAGTTACATCCTGTGATTCAAAAGATAAAACATAAGGACAGTTTTTAGAACAGAGAATTCTAGTCTCTTTATATTTCTATTAAGAAAAAGTTGACAACAGGCTCTGATGATCTCCATGAATTAGCCGTTGCTCTTCAATAGTTTTAGTCGCTCCACAGATTCGGTGAAAGAACTGCAAAATCATTAAAATTGAATGCCTCATTTTACAAACCAGATAATTGTGACACAGATTAAAAATAAAAATATAAGAAAAATATGATGAAAACAACTCATTTTTTTATTACTTATTTTATTTTATTAAAACAAAATATTCAAGATTTAATGGAAAAAAAAAAAGAAAACCAATAGTAAAATATTAGGAAAAATATTGAGACCTCCTTTTTTTCTTGACCCCCACCACCAGATTGGCTAATTTTTTGCTTTTTATTTTTTGTTTTTTATTTTTTTTTCTCCTATCACTCACTACCATACGTCTGTGGGATTGTGTAAGTAAAAAAAAAATAAAAGTCTCTATCATTTCTGAAAATATTATTCCGTAGTAGAAATTCAAATCATCATTTAAACCAGTTTCTCCCTATGGATCATGCAGTTTAGCCCAATGGGCCCATTACAAGGTCCTATTTTTATTATTCAAACTTCTTATCATGTTTAGCCACTTATATTAAATTACAATTCTTAATCTTTTCTTGAATAATCTTCTTACAAGCATTCAATATTGAGAGTGACAAAAAAAAATATTGCATATTTTACCCCAATTATTCCGATTATTATGTGAAGTACTCTCATTATATTAGTATTGATCAAATGATTACTGGTCTTTCTAAAATTAATTCAATTAAAATTTGCCAATAACACAAATTTTTTTTTTTTTTTTTTGACAAAAACGTATTTAACATGTAGTGTGATGTATTCATCTTGATGGATTGTGAGTCAGAAACAATGCATGTCGACATGGCAGTTTCAACACTTTTGTGAAAGAAATTCTAAATTTGTGTTATTTTCTTCATTAAAGTTTAAACAATAAAAATCTTCTTTAAAACTTTTTTTGGGTACATATTTTTATCAATATGATATATACATATGATAAGAATGATGGAAAAATTCAAGTACACATGCTACACATACCTCCAAGGTACATCTCCTGCGAGCAGCCAATCACCATCTCTATCTTGATAAGCAAGCTTATAAGCCTTGACATTTGCCTGACCTGTTAACAACCCCCCATAAATAAATAGGAATATGTCAATCCAAGGTTACACTAAACCTCATTTGGAATCATAAAATTTCCAAATTCCAAAATAGCTCCTCACCTCTCCCAAACATGCCAACCAAGGTATCCATGAGTGTTTGATAAGAGTAATGGAGGCTCAAGTCAATCTTTCTTGCTATTGCCACACCCTCCATCTTCACCTTCACATATGTGGATTTTAATCCACCACCATTGCCACCAGTGATGCCACCATAAACATTTTCCACCAACCCTTCGTTCCTGGCACCGCTGCCGATGCTATTGTTGTGGCAAAGCTTCTTCCTCCATGCTTTAATGGGTGGCCACCCCACCACACCTTCTTCTTCTCCTTCAATTCTATTACTGAATCAAATTAATCAATTATTATCACTCTATTTCATATAAATATTAAGCATAAAACTCAATATGATAATTTTTCTTTTTTAATTGATACGAGGAGAATTAAGGAGAGTGAAAAAAAAAATAAAAAAATTTGTGCCGTATAACAATAAAACTCAAATTCAAACGTATAATTATTGAACACATACACATTAGAAAATATAAATGGCTTAGTCCCCTAATTTTTATCCCATTATCATTTTGTCACAATTTAAAATTACTTTTCCTATAATATCTTTTTTTATTATTATTATTTTCATTTCTGGACCATGTCTCCGGCACAATCTCAGGCTTTGTTTGGGGAGTAACGATCCTCTCCTTACCTTCTTAGTTGGGGGTGATCTCCCTACCTTCTCTACTTTGGGGTGATCTGGGCCTTTGGATATATGGGTAAGGAATTTATATATTTTTTTTATAATAAAGTGAATCTTAACCGTGGTAAGGAGGGAGTCAAGTCGAGAAAGGAATGAAACGATCCTTACTCGTTAATTAGACAAAATACCATATACAAATCATAATTATTTTATTTTTCTCTCATAAAAATAAAAAAAAAATAAAAAATAAAAATGATATTTTTTTAACTCTAATCTAAAATAACCAAAAAAAATAAAAAAAACCAACCCATGTCTCAAAGGAAGGCTCAGTACATATGGCGCAAGACCATTCCACATATCGAGATTGTAATGGGATTAGTTGTTTTCATGTCTCACCATAATGTTTGGGTCGTCTTGATTTCCAATTAATGAAGAAAAATGAAAAATGGACTGAAAATTTAAATCTTATATAGTATTTTTACTTTTAATATTTAAAGAAAAAGTTTCAATTTGATTCCAAATTCAAATGAATAATTCTAGAATCAGACGCTCAATTTATGTAAAATAACAAGATTTTTTTAAAAGTCAGTCATATGTATTTACGTTTCATTTTGTATTTGATTTACGTATTCTAAACCTAATAAAATCAAATTTCACCGAAATCACGGTACTAAACAAATGGAACAAAAAGTTAAGAGAGTGAATTTCAAACCAATGTAAATAGAAATCAGGGGAAATTACAAATCAGTGAAAAGATAAAAACAAATTATAAAATATGAAAAAGTTGATCACTTTAATTATTAAAATTGATAACTTTACCATTGATCTGCAATTTATTTTTGATCTTTCCATTGATTTGTAATTTCACTTAGAAATTAAGAGAGAGAGAGAGAGAGAGAGAGAGAGGTAAAAGAGAGAGAGTACTTGTCAATGGTGGAAGAGTTCTTGTCAAGCTCTTTATTATGATCATCATCATCTTCTTCATTTGGGTCATTCTTCCAGAACAACAGAGGCAAAGTTTGGGGCTCAACAAAGGCTTCATCAAAGCTACGTTTCTTGATCAAGTTACAGTCACTAATGCTTTCACTGGACCAACAAGATCCAATGTGGCTCAAAGGGTCCGAGCCCAAAGGCCCCTTAGGCTCGTAACCACAGCTGTTGAGGTCGAACCCTTTCATGGGATTGCTTGGAAGTGCGAGTGCAAGTTGAAGCTCCATAATTACCATATATATATATATCGAAGAACGACAATACAAAAGTCACCACAAACTTGTATCTATAAAAGATGGGTTTGATTTGAACAGATCAAACTAGAAAGTAGAGATATGGAGTTTAAGGGATTTGGGTATGTTGTTTGAGGGGTTTTATATATATATATATATATATATAGAGAGAGAGAGAGAGAGAGAGAGAGAGAGAGAGAGAGGATCTTTCTCTCCCACAAGAGTGGACAGGTGTTGTTGGGATGTTGCTGAGGTCTAGATGGGTCATTTTAATTTTAAATAATTTAAATAAGTATATTTTTTAATTTTTTATAAAAAATTATGTAAAAAAATAAAATAATGATGTGATATAAATAAATATACTTATTTAAATAAATATATTTATATAAATTATGTCAAACATTACCAATGAAATTTTTATTGTACAAGTCTGACATTTTCAAAAATAAATTGTATCTTACCTAGAAAAGGATTTACAAATTACATCCCATGAAAATGATTTTTTTTTTTTTCTAATATCCTGCTTATTTGAGATTTTCCCTTATTCAAATGGTTCATTTTATTGGTTTAGTAATTATTCAACTTGTGGTATTGTCTATTTAGGTCCATTTTGCCTTCGTTTAACATGTTATGTTTTTTTTTGACTTTTTAGAGGCAGCTTGGAAAGTTAGGCCTTGTATGGCGTGTATTAATAAGTACGCATTTTTTATCTTTTTTCTATCATTTTATCTCTCTATTTTTTTGTATATTTTTTTTATAAAAAGTCAAAAAATATACTTATTTAGATCATCTCAAATCACCCCTTAATAAAAAGTCAATTTTTTGATATTTTTTAATTTTTTTACACAAAAAAGTAAAAAAATTAATTTTTTATCAACTTTTTAAAACACTACTTAATTTTAGTCACAAAAAGACAAAATAAATTTTTTAGCCCGATAAGACAACATCACATCTAAATCATAATCATTTTTTTTTGTCATAAAAGTCAAAAAAGTCAAAAAATTTATCCTAAACGAGACTTTTTAGTCCCAGATTAAAATAATTAAAAAATCAAAAAATTAACCCACATCCCAAACGAACCCTTTGAGAAGTAATTTTTTTTTGTTGACTTATTTGACTTATTATTAAAACATATATAAAAAAGTAAAAAGATAATATAATATGAATAAGGAAAATGTTTGAGGGCCACAATTTTTGTGGCCACAATGGCTCAAAACTGTCAAAATGACGTCATTTTGGCATGTTTTGCACCCAAAACGACATCGTTTTGACAGTTTTGAGTCATTGTGGCCACAAAAATTGTGACCCTCTAGCATTGTTGTATAAATAAGTCAATAAACTGTCTTTTTTTCCATCTTCTCAAATATAAAATTTAACCTATAAAATATGATGACTTCCTTTATTAGGTACTTAAAATATGTATTTTGTAGGCAACGGGTAGTATATTTTCAAAATAATATTTAAAAAAATTCCAATTTTTCTTATTGGATTGTGTTTACGTTACTCATGAAAAAATTAAACTTATTTTTTTTATTTTATTTATAATCATTTGATTTAAGTGTATTTATTTTTAAAATTATATTTACTTTTAAAAAAATAAATATGATACAATTATATGATTATAAATATTATACTAATATTTGTTTACTCATGAAAAAATTAAACTTATTTTTTTTTATTTTATTTATAATCATTTGATTTAAGTGTATTTATTTTTAAAATTATATTTACTTTTAAAAAAATAAATATGATACAATTATATGATTATAAATATTATACTAATATTTGTAATAGACTCTGCCTCCGTTTGGCAAGTTGGTTTATGGGTTTTTTTGACTATTTTAGTCACAAAAGACAAATTAGGCTATTTTAGCCACAACAAACAAAATATCACATCCAATCCATAATCATTACACTCTTCTCTCACAAAAAAAATCAAAAAGTCAAAAAGCCTTTCCCAAACTAAACTTTTTAGTCCAGACTAAAATAACTAAAAAAGTCAAAAAACCAACCCACTTCCCAAACGAAACCATAAACCTCACCAATCCTCTCTTTCATATATATGAAAAATTCTATTCATTAATAAAAAAATTATAAGAATAATATGATATTTAGTTTTGTAAATAAAATTTCTTCTATAAACCTCACAAATCCTCTCTTTCATATATATGAAAAATTCTATTCACAAAGAAAAAATTATAAGAATAATATGATAATGTTACTTTTTTAAATAAAATTTATTTATGTGAATGGTTTGTTTTGAAATAAAAAGTTTACATTGAATAAATTATACTATATAAAATTATATATATATATATATTTTTCTTGATATATCATTATTATATATATATATATATATATATTAGCGGTGGGTGTAAAGATAATGAGTTTGTAATTTTTAATTTAATTTTGCTGGTATTTTAAAAATTGAGGGTGCGATTTGATCGATGAGAAAAATCATTTAGCAATTTTAATTGATTTGATGAATGAAAAAAAATATTCATCAGTGATCAAATCATTTAGCAATTTTAATTGATTTGATGAATGAAAAAAAATATTCATCAGCTATTGAATGTGGCAATCACTAAAAGAGTTTTGAAGCAATTTATTGCAAGTTAAAAGTAGAAACTCAAATCACCCCCACATCCAATTTTTAAATAATCAATTTTTGAATTAATTATATTTATCATCTGTGTAGTTTGATTTAAATTTTACCCTAGCCCTTAATGTTTCAATTTGAATAATTTGATTTTTACACTTCAAGTTCAGTTTCATTTTGGTCATTCTGTCTAAATTTTCATTAATTTATTCTATGTGTACACCTTAATAGATTGACTAATGTTATAAAATGATTAGTTTTAACTTCCAAACAATAAGAATTTAAGTAAAATTTGAGTCAAATTACATAAGTTAAAAATATAATTAATGCTTAATTTTCAAAAATGATTCATCCACCAAATTTAATTTTAGCCAAATTATTTAAATTTATGCATGTCAGACGATCATTCGAACGACGATACAATCCTTGTCAACTGTGATTATTACTTTTATCAATAGCAACTATTAACCGAACTGATTAGACCATTAACATGTATAAATTTAAATAATTCAGATAAGTCAAAATTAATTAATATAATATTGGTTCTTAATTTTTTTAAACTTGTGTATGTTATTATATTTTGTATAATAAAATAGAGAGAGAGAGAGAGAGAGTCGGTAGCAGACAAGGAGTGAATATGGAGTATGTGAGAGTGTTGTTGGGTCGGGCCAACATTTTACACACATATGACTGTTTTTTTAGTACTCTACGTGCGTGTCTAATGTGCGTGTTGTGTTGTGTCCATTTTATCGTATCAGTTGCCAGTCTTTTTGCCGACCCGCTTGTCCCCCCATTCCTGTTCCCGACAACTACGCCCCCACCCTTCTTTACTTCCCTGTCTCTCTCTCTCTCTCAATCTTTTACACCCCTCTATTGCGCGTCTCTCACACTCCACCCTCATTTTTTATTCTAAAATTTATAGATATGGAATCACTGCTACGCAGTGGCAAAATTAAAATTGTAAATTAACAGTATTGTTTCTCAACAAGTTTGAGATTGAGTTAAGTTTAAATAAAAGCTGTTCCTAATTGATTCGTTAAATTTTTATTAAATTTAAATTTATAAAAATATTAATAAATAAGTCAAATATATTAAAGTTTCATTCGACTCGTTTGTAGTCCTAAATATAACAGTATCTGTCATGCGTTTTGTCATGTGTCTTGTGGGGTCATTTGTGAGTTTTATTTTGATAATTCAAATAGTTTTTTTTTTAATTTAAAATATTGATTATAACCTACTTGTAAAAAATTAATTATTTGGATATTAGTAACCCTTTTATCTAATTATATTTGTATTCAGTTTTATATCACATTTATAATTCATTTTTTATTTACAAATGTGATTTGATGAAATTATTATTAATGTCTGATAAACTTAATTTCTTAAAATATATTTTATTCGATATTTCTTAAAAAGTAAACTGTTCAAATTATCAAGATAAGACCCAAAACGAGTCCCACGAAACCTACAAAAGTCACTGCATTACTGTGCCCATTGCACAGCAGTGACCCATATCGAAAAATTATACTTGGACAAAATCTACTCTACCTAATCGAGCTGAAATAATCTAGTTAGTCTAAAAGACTACGTGTTCATGCGTCTACCCAATAATATATTAAAGTGTTGCACAACAACGACCCATATCTAAAATTATATACAAAATTTATTCTACTTAATTGAGTTGAAATAATCTAGTTAGTCTGGAAGATTACGTATTCATGTATTTATTCAATAGTATATTGCCCTCATTTGGCATGAGGCTTTTTTGAGATTGTAGGCTAATTTAACCACAAAAAGATAAAATAGTCAAAAAATCAAAAAGCTAACCTACTTTCCAAACGAAACCATTCTAGTTTGTCCTCTATCTCTTTATTATTAAGGGCATATATTCATTTAATCTCTTATTATTAGTTGGCATAAGGTCAATATGAAATTCTTAAAACATATGATAATTGATCTTGATTAATATTCAAAAAAGGTTAGGTTCTGTTGGTTACATATTTTGTATAAAGCCAATCACAGTTCAACACGTGGCAGGATGATGGCAATACGAGAAGACAATTCAAATCTTCGATCGTAATCGTACACGTGGCAGTTAGTATTGGTTTTTATAAGATCTGCGTAAACTGGATCAGTAAAGAGATGCAAAATGATGTGGCTTCAACGGTTACTCATATTTAAATTCAAAATCATGAGGGAAGCCTAACTGCAGATATTGGCATAGTGGAGCTAACTATAAGGCAACATGATCAGCGATCATGGAGGGGCGGTTCGACGGTTAGAAATGCAGTTTGACGATTGTCATTGAGAAGTATAAATAGCAAAAAAGGCCCAAAAAGTGCCCCCAGACTCAGATCCAAAAAATCAGTTTTATCTACTTTATTTTTCCTTCCAATTTTTACATTTCTTGTTATTTACATTTATGTACTTCAAATTCCTATATTGCATTTCGTTCATAGGAGTAGTTTTCAAGTAACTTGTTGTTGTAAACCTCTACGAGACTGATTTGGATCTTTGTAAGTCTTTCATTTTGCTTAATG